CACCACGAGGAAGGGGCTTTCTACAGAAAGCGTAGCAGACGAACACTCTCAGTCGAATACAGGGTTTCAAAGATAAAAGTAAAAAATACGTATGCTATTTGCTCTTTGCCTGTTACTATCACCAAAGCCTTGACTGCTCTCTATTATATTAACGTCTTTGTTGCGTGGCATTGATGGTTGTTCTATAGATAACAATACAAAAGTAAATCTATGTATTATAATTTGATATATAGCTTTCGTTTTCCATAGTTACTGACTTAAATTTACATGTAATATAAAAAAAATGATCATGCAAAACAATTTTTTAAACAAAGCATTTGTCATTATTGCAGTTTTTATACATTTATATATGAAAAAAGGAATTCTGTTTTTATTAAGATCTCTACATAAAAAAAAAATATTTACCTTAACATTTAACTATATTCTACAAATTATAATTAGAATTTAATTAAGAAAAAATTGTCAACAATCGAAATTATACTCTTACCTTTTGAAAGAAAATCAAATCCTATCTAAATTATATAAAAAATTGTATCACAACATTAAAACATATTTTAACAGCTTTTGTGCTATTTCTTGTATCATCTAGAGAAACAACGTCAAAATACACAATAAGTTATGACGTAACAATCAACGGTGTTCACGTACAACATAAACGTGACGTTTGTAGCAATTAAACGATAATAATAGGTGTTAAGATTTAAAATTTTACTTAACCTTATTTCCTACAGTATAAAATGTACTTGTCATAACTAGAATTGTATAAAATAGGAAAGAAAAGTATAGAAATGTTCTTATAAAAAGAAAATGAAAAGTAGTTATCTATAAACCTATATAATTATATCAGATATGACTTTGGATGAGTTGACATACACAGCATTTATTCATGTGTAAGAAAAGATTTAAATATTGTTGGTACACTTAATCTTATCATGGAAATTGGAAAAACAATCAAGTCGATAGGTTTATAGAAGGAAAAAAACGCTACATTATATTGCCAATTTCTACTTTATGACAACATCTGACCTTCAAGTACATATAAGATTCCTTCTGGGCAGAATTCGATGCTGTATATTGCCATTTTTTAGTTTCATTGTGACACCATCTGCCACTTCAAATATACTCCCTTCCTCATTCAAAATTATGTCCAATATACTGCCATATGTTGTCATTTTCTCTTTATGACAGCATCTGTGATGTATGGTGCCAATTTATTCTTTATTAAAGGATACACCGCTTCAGATGCACATTCCTTCTCCAGGACGGTATTCGGTGCTGTATGGTGACAATTAGTTTTCTTTATGACAGCTCCTGTCGCATCAAATGCACGTTCCTGATACAGGACAAAATTTGCTGCCTGTTTTGGCAGTTTTTTCTTTATGACAATATCTGCTGTTTCAAATGCTCATTCTTACTTCAGGACAAAAGCGCACATGAATGGTTTAATTAATGGTTCCGCTGCTTTAAATACACAACTACAGGACAAAAACTGCAAGCAGCTGCACAGTGCCATTTTTTTCTTCATTTTTTTTGGCAGCACCCTACGCCTCAAATACACATCCACTCTTTAGGATAACATCATCTAAAATATGGAGCCATTTCCCTCTTTATGTCAGCATTTGCCGCGTCACGACAAAACCAACATAGTGCGTTTGCGACCAGCATGAATCCAGACCAGCCTGCGCATCCGCGCAGTCTGATCAGGATCCACGCTGTTCGCTATCAGTTTCTCTACTTGTAAAAGGTATTGTAAGCGAACAGTATGGATCCTGATCAGACTGCGCGGATGCGCAGGCTGGTCTGGATCCATGCTGGTCGCAAACGCATTACGTTGGTTTTGTCATGACGCGGCTCATTTCTTTTTAGGATAACGGTGCCATTTTTTTTCTTTATATCAGCATCCACCGCTTCAAATGCATGTACATATTTCTATTTCTGGACAATAACATTTGACAATTTTCAAACAGAACAATATATGCTTAGAATTTATCACTATGGCACAAACATATATCTACATGCACTTAAAAGTATGAAAATAACTTTCTTACCTTTAAAAAAATGTTTAAATACGATTAGTAAGACATGATTTGTATCGTTATGTTGAAAATCCTCTAACAATATTTTTGTTGCGTTTGTACCATCCAGTGCGTAGAAACAACGTCTGAACAGGAAATAATGACGTCACAGTCATTATTATCAACGGTGTTTACGTAAAACATAAACGTGGCGTTTGTCCTATTTGTCTTACTGCAAACGACAATATTAATTTGTTGGTATGTTAAGAGTTTACGTGCACGCATAAATACAAAAGTAAAGCATAATTTTACTTAATCAGATCTAAATCTATTTTAGACATTATAATATTTTCATGACTGTGTAAGAAAGGAAAGAACCATATTGAGAAAACAAAAAGTATGAACGTTGGTGAGTTTATAAAGGCCTATATAACGGGTATATACGAAAGACTAACAAAAAAATGATTTTTTTATATATGATGTCTAACTGCTGTAGCATTTTTCTAATATGTCTTCATGTGAAAATCACTGGGGATCTGAACACTTCCGGTAACATGTATTGACGTATTACGTGTTGTGCAGACGGAATGTCAGACATAATCCCCTTCGGACAAAATCCCCTTCGCCTACCCGGACAAAATCCCCTTCATGGGTGGACATAATCCCCTTCATGTTTTTGCAAGGCTGGACAAAATCCCCTTCACTACCCGGACAAAATCCCCTTGTTTCTTAGGTTTCTAATGTATTTATTATGCTCCATAAAAATTGATGATTAATGTATTACTATACTCCCTAAAAATTGATGAATAATGAACTTTTGTTTTTTTATTTATAATTATGTATCAATAGTAAAACTTTATTTAGTTTAGAAGTTTTCATTAAAGTTATTGTAAATTATCAACTGCATAACACATATTTGATAAGGCAATTTCTTTAATTGTTTTAAATTGATTAGTATGAAAAACATTTTTATTAGCAAATAATTGTTTCATTGATTGTATAAGTTGATAATTCTTATTGATATATACTATCCATTGTTAAAATTTCTTTTGATGAGAGAGTGATAATTTAATCAAACCAAGATCACTGCACTACTTGATTGTTTGTTATGAATGCTTTAAAAAAGCAATTTAAATGTGATTCAAATGTGCTAATTGAATGTGCTTTTCTGCTCTCATACCCACTTCATAAACCAAAAATTTCTCCAAGGGGGATTTTGTCCTAGGTAGTAATTTTATGAAGGGGATTTTGTCCACTTCAAAATTTCACACATGTAGGGGATTATGTCCACCCATGGAGGGGATTATGTCCAGATATACAAAAATACATGAAGGGGATTTTGTCCGAAGGGGATTATGTCCGTACACCGTGCAGACGACAATGCAGACGAAATTGGACGTTGTTGGTACGCCAAATCTAATCATGAATATTTGATATAATAATTCGGTCGGTACCTTCAAAGGAAAAAAACTGTGAAAACCAAATGAATAAGATTATCCGGGTAGAATGTTCATTTTTTCGAAAACAATTGAAAATTTTTATTAAGGAATGAATGTTATAATATACAATGTAGGTGCAAACATGTATAATTGAACGCACACGACATTTGGTCACGTGATATACTTACATCTCAAATGAACGTAGAAGTAAATCGTGTTATTTTTTTGTTGCAACTACTGACGTCAGTTTCTTCTCCTCTTTCAATGAAAACCTTTGAAATTAGTCTTAACTTTGTACCGGACGTTTCTTAACTTTCACACGTGTACCGCATCTACTGGTGAATTCGAAACAGAAGACGCTTAAAATAAATAGCAATTGTGTCTTCCTGGTTTGAAACTATGGTTATATATCTATTATCAGAAGATCTGGCAAAATTCATAAATTAATTCTTCATCTATTGCAAATTCAGTAACCATGGTGTACATCTATCCAAAAGAATTCTCTAGTCTGTTTCAATATGACCGTTCACGTTGTAATGATGTAACGCCTATCAAAATGTATCCTTTGAAGTTTCTTGTATTTAATTCTAACACGACCCGCATTTTCCCTATTGAACATACATGACATAGAACAACCGAAAGTGTGTGTGTTATTATGCAATAAAATTACTGTTTGACGTTAGAACATATTTAGGCATGTGACGTAATCATTATACACGTGACGTAACCACTAAAAATGTGACGCGCTAAAAATAAGTACGGAAACAAATCAGGCCCAATTTAGCTTAATATCAAGTACGGCAGCATTTATTTGATGATGTCCTGTTAGATTGAAATAATATATCCAAATCGGTGATTTTATCGCTTGATCAAATCACTGTTTGTCGTTCGGATGCGCATCATTATATCACTTACGTGATATAATTCCTTGCATCCAAACTCCAAACAATGATGTTATTGAGCGATAAAATCACTGTTTGGGATATATCATTTCTTAAATAGATGACTAAATCAAACAGCTTGAAAAATATAACTTTCAAAAATTTGCATACAAACTATAGGAACAGTGTGTTAGATTAAATAGAATCGTAATAGAAAGGTCAAGATCTTCAATTTTTACATATTTTAAACTGACCAAACTTGAAAAATTTGTATTACAGCAGCATGCCTCAAGAGTCATGCTAATTTTCTATAAAATGCATTTAAAATTAAATTATTGTCAAGTGAACAAAGACAGAAAGTTACAGATTGAAAACAGTACGCAAGATATTAAAATTACCAAAAATAGGGTCAGAATATGCATAAATAGCCTTTACTGCATTAGTTATGCAACAGAAGTTATAAATTGATAAAAACTAATACTGCACAATCAGTCATAAATTGCATATTACATGTAAATTATTTCCTGAATTGTTAATTTTTTCTTTTCTTGAAATTTTAGTAAATTTTTCTCAAGGCTGATTTTCTAAAATATTTTGGCAAATCTGGAGGCATACAGCTTTAACATAGTCGTTTTAACTTGATAATTAGCAAAAACAACAAGTAATTCTGTTTACCCAATAATGGCTTTAATGACATAATTATGACATAAAACACATGTATGACACAAAACTTGGATAATGTAAAAATTAAAACATATGACTTGAGAAAAACACATAAAATCATATAAAGTTAAACAATAATACAATAAAAACAAAGTTTCCAAGTTTAGTAGTTTAGTGCCAAAACTTTATCAAAGACTGATGACAAATTATCAAACAGGGGATAACTTGTGAAGAAGGCACTCAAAGTAAAGGCAGCATACCCATTTCCACAATTGAACAGTATTTTTTCAAAAATAAATTCAAGCAAAAAAGCAAGATATTGGCATGTGAGATTCCTATAGTTTCTTAACTTTTTACATAGGAAAAGAAGCAAAATTTAGTTTCTTCAATTTATACATAGGAAAAGAAGCAAAATTTAGTTTCTTCAATTTATACATAGGTTTATACATAGGAAAAGAAGCAAAATTTAGTTTCTTCAATTTATACATAGGAAAAGAAGCAAAATTTAGTTTCTTCAATTTATACATAGGAAAAGAAGCAAAATTTTTAGTTTCTTCACTTTTACATAGGAAAAGAAGCAAATTAAGTTTCTTCACTTTTACATAGGAAAAGAAAATTTTTTAGTTTCTTCACTTTACATAGGAAAAGAAGCAAAATTTAGTTTCTTCAATTTATACATAGGAAAAGAAGCAAAATTTTTAGTTTCTTCACTTTTACATAGGAAAAGAAGCAATATTTTTTAGTTTCTTCACTTTTACATAGGAAAAGAAGCAAAATTTAGTTTCTTCACTTTTACATAGGAAAAGAAGCAAATTTTTTAGTTTCTTTACTTTTACATAGGAAAAGAAGCAAATTTTTTAGTTTCTTCACTTTTACATAGGAAAAGAAGCAAATTTTTAAGTTTCTTCACTTTTACATAGGAAAAGAAGCAAAATTTAGTTTCTTCACTTTTACATAGGAAAAGAAGCAATATTTTTAGTTTCTTCACTTTTACATAGGAAAAGAAGCAAAATTTAGTTTCTTCACTTTTACATAGGAAAAGAAGCAAATTTTTTAGTTTCTTTACTTTTACATAGGAAAAGAAGCAAAAATTTTAGTTACTTCACTTTTACATAGAAAAAGAAGTGAACAAATTTTTCTTAAATTTTGTATGATTAAAAAGAATCATAATTTTTGAAGAAAAAGAAATCGGATTCAAGATCCTACTTTTTTAGTTATCTGCCAATGAAAGTGAATCTTCACTTGCTTCAGGGCATTTTCATTATCTTTGATATAACCAAATTTTACCATAAGCACCATAGTAGTGCTTTTTAATTGTTCCAACAAGTCCACAAGTTTAAAGCCAGAACAGTCAATTTATCATTTTTATGTAAATACCCTTAATTCTTTAAATATTTTTAACTTTTTTGAAATAGCATCTTTAAAATGATCCATATAGTTAAAAAAAATCACTAAGTAATATAACTAAACATAGAATTTCACTATGATATTAGTGTGTCAAATATGGATGTGCTGCCTTATTAATTTCTCAACTATCTATATCATAAACATATGACTGGATGTGCAACCGTGAATTCTCAAATTCCAAAATATACATGTTATACAGGTAGGTACATGTATATATTTTGCCAGGGGTAACAATGCTTCATCAGTTAAGTCCAAGAATCTACCGACTCTTTACAGACTTAACTTCATTACGATATTAATACATGTACATGTAATATCAGTTATCTAAACAGTATCTCTAAATATTGCATAATATTAATGAAATATTTAGTTACAAAAATACAACTGTTCAAAATAACTGAAAGGAGATACTGCAAAAATCCATAATGTATGATTTTCTATATCAATTTTTGTAGATATTAGATTAAGGAAGATTGGTTGTTAAATAGATCATCAAATCAGAACAATATTTCTATTAAAGTTAACAAATTAATACCGAAGCAATTGTAAACCAAAATAATCTACAAATTCCATCAAAATATCAGTCATAAAGACGCTTATTGTTTAAAGAACAAATCAAGCTTCTATATGAGTGAACAAAAAATTATATCATTACAAAAGAAACAAGTATTTTTCTCCCATCTCCATGTTGTTGATATTTTATAACTTTATAATTCCTTTGAACTTTTAACTTGAACTACAATTTACTGTATTAACTTGAACTTTTGCTGTCATCTACAGACTTGTATAAGATTTTTTTTCCTTTAAAGAGATGGTGAAATTATTAAAGAAAAAGTAATGAGTTATTGTGAACCAAAATACAAATGGATTTTGACAGTATTTCCAGAAATTACAACATGCAAAAAAATATCTAGCAATATCAGACCCTAGGCTTTATAAAACTGTGTGTTCAAAATATACTCAATTCTAGCTTCAAAATCAAATGTTAAATAACAAATTACAATATCACAGCTGCCCACAATTAAATCATACATCATCTTCCTTCCAATACTGTAAAATTCCTAATAAATGCTCCCCTGAGATCTAACTTGTTACAATTAGGGGGTGTTTATTATGCATAATTAAAAGTGGCAATAAAAGAACAAATGTTCCAGTGTTTGGATGCATATATTTGATAATAAAAACTTAGGACTATAGAATATAACTGAATGACCTAATTTGTAAGTCTACCTTTTTTTTTTCTTTTTCAAATTTCAATTTTGTTAAGTTGGGGCATTTACAAGGAATTTTACTATAAATCTGAATCAACAGTCAAAATTCAGATCAATATACGATAATTCAATGACACAATACATGCATCCTGGAGTTCAAAAAGGTGTACAACATATTTTTTGATAACTCAGAACTTCTATAATTAAATTCAACACAAGAATGTCTATAACCATAAACATGTATCATGCCATAATATATTGTAAGTTCATAGGCTTAATACTTATCTAAATCTTTATATTTCACATATACTTTCAATAATCTTTTCATACATTCTATTTATTATTTCCCCATGACCGATTCACTTTCTTCTTTTAAAAACAGTATAACACACATATACATAAATAAAGAAAAACATATTTTAACACAAAGCCTTGATTCCAAATCTAGAATTGAATATATCACTGGTAGGTCACATGACATATGATGTCATTAGTCATGTGACCTGTAGAACACACAGGAAATTAACCTCATCCTCCTCCGGCACCCCCTCGTCTCTGACCCGGTCTCCAGGCACACGACCCTCCATCACCCCCAGTCAAAGGATTGTAATCTGAAATCAAGAAAATAATAAATAATTTTATCGACTTTTATATTATATAAATGGGAAAGAAATATTAATTAATAAACTTCCCTGGTTCCAGAAGTCAAAATTAATTTTTTTTACACTTTTTTTTCTTTTGTAGTGTTTTACATCTCATCAACACAGCAGAGGTCATATGGCTGCTTTCCAGCTTACCTGGTGGGGGAAGACCTCAAGTGAATAACTTCACAGTTGCATGATTGAAATATAAAGTTTTTTAACATAACCGACGTTGATGCAAGGCTGAGTAAGACAGTCTCACTATTCTTCCAAGAATAACACTAAAATTTTGTATAAAGCTAGAAACATTTTGATCTCTTCAAGTGTTATAATTAGTCAACAATACCTGAGGATCTTAATGGTTTCTTCTTATCTGTTTTTAAAGAACTGGCACTAGTTGACTGTTCCTCTTTCTGAAAAATATAAAAAAATAAAACTTTTAATATGTGTCCACTCATGTTTGTTTTGATTGAGTTTTATGTCACACCGTCACAGTATAGGTCATGGTGACGTTCCAGCTTTACTGGTGGTGGAAGACCTCAGGTGCCCTTCCTTGTATTATTTCAGGCACGAAAGGGCAACTGAGTAGAACCATCGACATTCCATAAGCTAGCTGGATAGCTTCCTCACATGAAAGAATCCAAAGACCCTGTAGGGATTCGAACCCACAGCGGTGAGGGGCAAGTGGTTTGAAGTCCACTTATGTAGTTCAACATATTTTTATCATTCTCTTTTTCATTAGCCTGTTTCGATATAGAAGACATATGCCTTCGTGATTATATTCCCACGCGTTTGAACTCCAACTGTGTATTATTCTACAACAATGCACTCAAAATTGATATCTATTTCCCAAACAAACTAGAAATGAGTCCATAGGACACAGATGCCCCCTAATCCCTGTTTTGTCAGTCCACAGAAGAACAGTGTGATAGCGGAATAAACTGACAAGGGCAAACCTAGAACCCTTTCCAATGTAGTGTGTATATAGGTGGGAAACATTTTATTGTTTAATTTTGTGAAATGTACAATATAAACCAGCAAATCCCTGATAAGATAAGATAGTTAAATAAATGGCAAAATGCCCCAATATTGCAGTTTAATCTACATCCAAAAAACATTTGAGGGAAAAAACCAACTGTATTCACTCCACAAAGCAGTGAGACGTGGTTGGTAAAGCAAAATTCAATTCCCCAGCTATCCCCACACTCCTCCTGGATAGAGGCATACTGAGGGGGGGGGGGGGGGAATGGTAAACAATTGTTGTATAATAAATATACAACATACATTTATAAGAAATATTGAAAAATTTACAGCCACTTTTATATGAGATGATGTTTAAATGTTTAAGTAATAGTATATGTGATGATGCAGTTACAGTGAAAAATCTGAAGATTGGTTTTGTTCTGATCTTAAATAAATGTAATTTTAACAGCTTAAATTGAGATGAAATATAATACACAAGTCATTTATTTCAATCTATGTGTCTTGTTGTAATTTGAACGTAATATTTGTCTATCTCCAATAATATCAAAAGTTAATGAAAGAAATTAATCAGTATGCTATGGATATAGCTGCATGAATATTTAATAGCAATTTAATCATATAGAGTTAACTTTCTGTTGTTTAAAACATATAAAGTTACAGAAATGCATTTTCTCGAGCCTATGAAATAAGGTAAAAAATAAATACGAATATAAGGTATGGAAATGAAATTCTAGCTTTTAATACAGTTAAATTAGATCTAAGAATTCCTAATCTGCTAAATTCTTCCGTATATTTCATACATACCCATGATTATAATAAATTGATTTAAAAATTGATTAAATGGCAAAACACTTCAATCTAATTTTGTTTCTAGGAATACATTTTAATCAAAAAACCAAAAAAAAAAAATCCATAAAATTTCTTGATCAAATCTAAAGCTGAGAGAAATCACTCAAGGGATTTGAATTAATATATTACATGTACTCTAATTGAGTAGCAAGATTTAAAACACATTCCCGTTGGGACAAAATAAAAACTGTCATGCCAGAAATTTCATATTTTTTTGTCAAGAAATTACATTACAAACAAAAACTTCATCATATGACTTTATAAAATCATGACCAGAATGTTCCCAAAATAGAACACACATGTCAACATCACAGATTTTTCAGTGTTCTTTAACAATAAGGCCGTTTGTTAAAAATTGTTGATGTTCTTTTTAAGCAAAGTTTTTTTTTAAATACAACCATTCTATAAACAAGAGCTGTCAAAAGGACATATTGCTCTATAGTAAAACAAAAGTCTGATAATATAGAATTTTTCAAGTTTGTGTTATGGGCCTTGGAGAGTGACCACCTATTATGATCTCAAATAAGTGTGTGCACTGTCAAGCAATTCCCTTCAGTAGTTATAGAGATACCAACTACCATGCAAAAACTTAACCAAAGTGTGACACTGAAGCCAGAATGGTAACAATAGCTCTCCCTGTTCTTGGAATAGTCATGCTAAAAAACCAATCCAGATTTTAAGTTTTAATTTTCTGTTTGCATCATAAGAGCTTGCAGAGTTTATCCTGGTTGTGATTTTCTGATTAATAAGGAATATTATCAAAATATAGCATAACACGGACAAGAAATCCTGTAGCTAAATCTATAAAATTGTGTCAAATGGCTTATGGCAGAGTGAGCCTTGAACTTGCCACTCAATTTGAGGACAGGATCATTAAAGTTTAAAAAGATAATTGGTATTGTTTCACTAATTTAACATGAAATTGGCTGTTTTATCTGTGTCTGAATTTTCCTTATTTTACCCATCACAACACAATTCCCCCCCATTCCATGGGCCCTGCTGCCATTCCCCTAAAAGTGAAATAAACCATTGATGTAACATTGCATATACATGGGTGTAAGGTAAAAACATCACAAAACCTGAAAACCCTGAAATAAGTATTATTACAATTGGTTTTATATAGAACTAGAACTCCGCGAGTCGGATGTGTCGCCTTGTGAACAATGTAGTTTAGGAGAAATGGCCAGGACAAAAATGAAATATGAAAAATAACAAAGGGCAATAACTAAAAAAATAATAAGTGCAGAGCAGCAGTTTCTGTGCATTGCACTTATTAACAATAAGATCTATCATTGTATGATGTTCAAAGTCCACAGCTTTCATACTTGAGGAGAAATGACCAGGACAAAAATAAAGTAAGAAAATCAACAAAAAGCAATAACTCAAAAAATAAGAAATGCAGAGTATCAGTTCTTATGCACTGCACTTTTTCTTAATGAGATCTATCATCCTATGAAGTCCATAGCTTTCATACTTGAGGAGAAATGACCTGGACAAAAATAAAGTGAGAAAATCAACAAAGGGCAATAACTCAAAAAATAAGAAATTCAGAGTATCAGTTCTTATGCACTGCACTTTTTCTTAATGAGATCTATCATCCTATGAAGTTTCAAGTCCATAACTTTTATACTTTCGGAGAAATGGCTTGGACAAAAATTAAGTATGAAAATTAACAAAGGGCCATAACTCAAAAATTAAGAAATGCAGAGTACTGATTCTTGTGCACTGCACTTCTTCTTAATGAGATCTATCATCCTATGAAGTTTCAAGTCCATAGCTTTTATACTTAAGGAGAAATGGCCCGGACAAAATTAAAGTATGAAAATAAACAAAGGGCAATAACTCAAAAAATAAGAAATGCATAGTACCTGTTCTTGTGCACTGCACTTCTTCTTAATGAGACCTATCATCCTATGAAGTTTCAAGTCCATGGCTTTTATACATTAGGAGAAATGGCTCGGACAAAAATGAAGTATGAAAATTAACAAAGGGCAATAACTCAAAAAATAAGAAGTGCAGAGTACCGGTTCTTGTGCACTGCACTTCTTCTTAATAAGATCTATCATCCTATGAAGTTTCAAGTCCATAGCTTTTTTAGTTGAAGAGAAATGGCCCGGACAAAATTAAAGTATGAAAATTAACAAAGGGCAATAACTCAAAAAATAAGAACTGCAGAGTACCGGTCCTTGTGCACTGCACTTCGGGTTATTGAAAGAAGCATGCATACCGAGTTTGAAGTCAATCGGACTTATAGTGACTGAGTTATGCTCCGGACAAGTTTTAGGGGACGCCGACAACGACGCCGCCGACACAGACGCCGCCGACACCGCCGACAAAAGTAATCCCTATACACCTTTTCAAGGCGACACAAAAAGGGAGCTTTCAAGAGTTGTAAAAATACATTAGGCAAATATCTGAAAACTTGAACCCATGCATGTATTTACAGCTTATTTTGCATAAACACAAGAGAGAGTTTTCCATATTAAATTTTATTAACAAAATGTTTACCGGTTTATATTTTGATCTGTAACCTTTTCCTTGAGTATGACCTTCCCAATCTTCTATTTTTTGTTTTCTTTTCTCCTCTTCCTTCTGAAAATATAAAAACAATAAAATTAATAATATTAGCCCCACAAAATGTTGGCATATTAAATGACCTTGAATTGATTAGCCTGGCATTAAAGGCCAAAACAAATCAGGAATTGCATTGATTATGAATTTTGATGAAAAAAAATAATTTCATCGCTTCTGAGTCAAATATCAGTCAGTTAAGAAAACGCATTTAAAAGCAGAAAAAAATATAGTTTCTTGAATAGCTTTGTTATTTTGGCAGACATTTTGGAGGCCATTTTTAAATTGTTGTCAAAGGTCAATAATTTTTATACAACAATATGGCCTTGTTTGCTACAAAAATATTCTAATACAATGTAACAATGAGCTCTCATTATTTTTATTATCAAATACATGTACTCAGAAAAAACTTAAATAAACAGCTGAGTTATTTACTTATGAGTATGATTCATATTATCATTACATTCATGATTATTTCTGAATGAAAAATTAAATCTTGGAAGTGCAGTTATCAAGTTGGTCGATTAAAAATTATCACAAAATCAAGTGATTTTTTCAGCTTTCTTTAAAAGTATATATTTATAATTTTAGAATGTAAAAAAACAATAACTAACATACAGAAAATAAAAATTACAAGTTATCAATTTTTGTGAATGGTCATTTGAAGATCCATCTAACGAAATACTATAACAAGCTCATGATAACTCTAAAAAACAGGAAGAAAACACAAATGTTAGTGGCTATTTCTAAATCAGAGAATGGTAATTTCTTAGAGAAATTCAATGATAAAAGTTAATCTGTAAAAAAGACAAGTCAGATTGACTGAAAATGGACAGTAAATGACCAAAAAGTTTGTAACCTTAAGCACTTTGTACACTATATTAGATGTGATATATATGAATTTAAACCTGTTTCATTTGTTCAGCATGCCTCGCTGCCTGAGCATCTAGCTGTGCTTGCATCCTCTGACGTGCTGCGTCCATTGCCTCCAAACGTGACTGAGCCTTTGATGAATCTGAAATATCCAAGAATATTACAGTTTTTCATTTCTTAACCCTTTGATACTACACTATAACTATTCATCCATTTTGGAGAGAATTTCACAATAGGAACTGGCTGAATAATTCAGCAAACAGTACAGACCATAATCAGACAGCATGGATGTAAGGGCTGATCTTGGGTCTCCACTGGTTTCATGTGTAGAATACAGTCACCACCAGTGGGCTAAGAGTTTAAAATACATTTAGCATTGTGTTCAAATCTGGTGTTTGTTATTCTCTTAATTACAGCCAGCTTGAAACAGTATTTCAGTTATATGCTAATGGGCAGCTATACATATTTCTCAAGCAAACATTGTTAAAATTCATTTAAATGGTGATATCATGTCACCAAATATAATTATGTTATATATTGTTCATTATGTTATGTCAAAAGATTTTGTACATATGAGAATCATTGCAGTTTCTGTTTTCAATTCTAAGTAAGGTTTTGACATGTTTGCATCGTGTTATCATTGGTTTCAACATTTAGCATTATCATAAAACTGGCCAGCAAAATGGTCTTAACCTTTTCCCTTATATAGACGTGTTTCGATGGCTTTTTGTCCCCCCCCCCCCTTTTTGAGGTCTCAAACAGTGAAGAAATGCCCTATTTAGGTCCCAAACACTGTTTTTCGTTTGAGAAATGTTGTTAAAAAAAGTGACAACTTTTTTGGCGCCGCCCCCCATCCAAATGCCAAGAAAATTTTGGACATGTGACAGGCTAAAAATGGCCTCAGGTCGATCTTAGGGTAACTAGTAACCGACGTTGAAAAGCCTTTTACTCTATCTCAATTCATTGAGAAGTTGCAGCACTTTGAAATCAGTTTTGATGGGAAAAAACAATGCAAACTAGTGATTTTTGGCAATTTTGAGACGTCCCCCCATTTCCATGGTAACAGGAAATTTACGATTGAGCATGCTGTTACAGAGGCTATGGTCCAGTCAACATTTGTGCCAAGTTTCATCAGTATTGAAGAATTTTTCATAGTTTCATTGCAGTTTGAACTTGTTACAGGAGGTTTTTCAATGAAAACGACCATTTTTGCAATATGCTCATGGGGTTAAAGGTTACAATGAAAAATATAAACAAAGATAATTAATGAAATGAAATTTACTCTCATTTAATAAAAAAGGTACATCCGCTGAATGAATTATTGTCACTGAAAAAAGCCCTTTAATTAATCTTAACAGTTTACAATTCGCCTCTAACATTGGATGTCTCTTGTATATCTTTTTTTTGCGGCAGCGAAAACAACTTGAAAAAACTGCCTTATCATGAATAACTATAATGTAGCTAACGATTTATTTATTTTTATTTATTTATTTATTTATTTATTTCTATTACAAAAAAGAAAACATTATGCCATTGCGATAAACAGTTATAGTATATGAAACTCGTTAGTTACGGGGATATAACACTGACTGGGGCGACATCTCGGGATGTTTATGCCAAAAAAAAATTGTCTCGGCCTCAAGGCCTCGACATTTTTCTTAGCAGAAACATCACTTGATGTCGCCCCAGCCAGTGTTATATCCTCGTAACTAACTCGTTTCATGTACTATAACTATTACATATAGACTTTTGTTATACTTACCAAATTTTTTACTTTCTATAGTGTCTTCGATTTTTTGTTTGTATTTTCTGACAGTAGGTGACAGTTTACTCTTGATGTACAGGCAAACAACCAGACCAAACAATATGATCCAGCCATAACTCTGAATAAACTCTATAACTGAAATAAATGAAGTACTTGTATTTTAATGTGTAAAGTGTATATCATATCTAATGAAATATTTTATCAAATTTTAAAAGCAGTAAATTAAATATTTTATTAAAATTAAAAGCAGACTGTAAAATAATATTGTTTTTCATGCTCAAATGGCCGTTTCTTGTTATAACATAGAATGTCTGTGTTATTTACTATGAATATTGTACGTAATCAGAATAAAATGTTCCAGAACAAAATTTTCCGCTGAATAGGTTTGGCAATAATTTCACTGATGGCTCCCTGACTCAATTTAAATAAAATATGCTGATCAATTTCTTTTATTCAAGGTACCAGTAATCATTTTATTACATGCTTTTCGGTGGTTTATAGAAATATATCAGTGAGTTAAAAACTGGTAATTTCACAGTTTTAAACAGTGAAATTATCAATTTGATAATTTCACTGTTTTGAATTTAAGCCCCTTATGTTGGTTCAGTGAAATATAAGCGTTCACAGTATTGGAAACCAACTTAATGACGTGACGTCATAAATGACGTCAAGTTATATTATCGTTTGGCGCGCTTTTCATTAAATATTAGGTTAAAATGTCTTTTTAAACGTTTCTTTGCATATAATAAAAAAAAAAATTTGTTTAGTTCAGAGTAAGATTGAAATATATTTCACATTGTGAACACCAAAAGTTCATATTTCACTCATGGCTGGGCCACTCATGAAATATACCTTTTGGTGCTCACTTGGTGAAATATATTCCGATCTTACACTGAACTAAACAAATATCCTCTAATTAATCACAAAATAGACAATAATTCTACAATCCACAGCAGCAAAATTTTAATATAAAGCTTAATACACTATAAATTAAATAGTTCAAGTAACTGAATCAAAACTATTTATTTCTAATACAAATGTATTAAAATTCATCACTTACACACAGTTTTCAGTGTGAATAATTATTAAATTGTTAAAGTTTATATATCTTATGTTTATTCAAATAAAATCATAATTGTACACTAATGTTATACAAAACTTAACAGCAATCTGTTTTTTGTTGTTGTTTTTGTTTTGCCTGTTTATTTTTTCAACATCTATCTGTCCTGCATTAAAAATTGGTAATAAATCTTGAATATGTTTAGTTAGTTTACTAACATCCAACTAAGTACAAATTTACTTTTCTCTCAACAATAATAACGGAAGATTTACCATAAAGGTTGCTTTAACCATTTTGTTCAGTAAGATTATATACAAAATATTTTTTGACAAATTCATTTTAATAGAAATCAGTATTCTGTTTTTCCCCTTTTTCCTGGTTTAAAGGCTTATTTAATTTATATAATCATGAATATTGTATACTGCTTCTTTGCACATAAAATATTGTTGCATAAAAGATGTGAATCTCAGTGATAATTGAATCGACAAAATGGTTTAATGGATAACCATAACAGGTGATAATCCAATTATGATTAATCAAGGCTGGACACAAAAACAGACCCATATGTTATTTTTTTAGAAATTATCTCTTTTTGCAGGTTTTAATATTGATATATTTATCTTGCATGAATAAGATTATAAGAGACTATTAAGAAACTAAATTATTTTACTGTCATCAAGATATATAAAGCCATAAGGTCTTTGTATATCTGACTGGTGACAAATTTAGGAATTTTCTAATAACCCAAGTAATATGTACATGTCTTTACAGATATTAAGATAGAATTTTCTGATAACACATACATGTCAACTATAATTTCTTAATTTGAAAAAAATAAAAAGATAGGGGCCTATTACCGGGTAGATGACAACAAGTTAAGGGACAGGTTGACTTAGGGATGAGGTGACCTTGGAGGGTTTTATTCCAGGATTTTGGGAACATGACCCATAACCATGGAATTGGGAACTTGTCCGACAGCATGTTCAGCGATGTTTGGTTAAAAATTGGGAGAAAAAAATACATGAATTAAATGCAATGAATCATGTCTAGGATGGCATCTTTAAACATTTAAGCAAAATAACAGTGAAGAGGCCCTTATTTTCAAAGATTTTAGAATTTGTTATTCGATATTTTTATTTTCTAACTTTCAATTGGGAATTTTTTCCTCTGGATTGGGAAAATAATATATTATTTTCAATTGGGAATATGACCAAATATCGGCTATAAAATAAGCCAAAAAAAATCCTTGCCACAGGACAAGCTGTCCGGAAAGGTTTGCAAGTTGACCTCTGGATGTTGACTTCACTTGGTATAATATCTAAATTACTATTTGACTATGGAATTATTAATTATTTATATTGGCTGGGGACTTGATTAAATAAAAAAATTGTTGAAGGTTGCAGAAATAACCAGATAACTGAGCTGTTTACCCAAATGTCTATTGAATTTGTTCTGCAAGGGGTTTGAAATTAGTAGAAGATAGAGAGATAATACTTGTGTATGTTGAGATAGAAAAAACTGGAAAAACCCAAATGAAAGATGACTTGTCAAAATTGACAAAACAGTGTCGCTTCAATATTATATTTACCTGTGTAAAAAGGTCCAGATAGAGGGTTTTCATTCACTAATCTATCAGGATGAACATTACTTTCCCCCGTCTCATCTTGTGTTTGAGCATCCATATTGTCTAGTTGTTATTCCGTCATTTACAAATATTTATATTGTTCTGATTACAACTTACGTGTACTTTTCCGGATTCACTTTAGAGTTACTTCCCTTGAAGTACAGTATAGTTTGAGCGGACCGAAATCTACATTGACACCGTTTCAAAATTTGCAGAAATTCACTTGGAAAACCAATATTAAAGTAAGTATTTTAACATGAAATAAATGTCCTATAACTCAATAAAGCTGTTTTTCAAAGGTTATAAATAAGTTTAAGTTGTTTGTAATATAGTTATCTAGACACATTGTCGCACCGAAACCGTTTTGTTATTTTATTGAAAATCTAACCTGCCCTACTGTATTAAAATATATTTTATGACAGTCTACACCGATTTGTTACTACAAAATCATGCACGGGACTTGTCTACGAGTGACTTTAAAATCGAAAGTAAACATATTAGCTTCTAATTTCAGGGATTTTTTTTGTTATTTTATAGCCGTTATTGGGTCCAGTGATAAATTTTTTCAAAACAGCCTGTGGCTTTCTGAAGGGGAAAATAGAGCGCGATAAATAAAAAAGTGTGAAAACCTGAAATCAAATTCAAATAACTAAAATGGAATTTACCCACACATTTATGAATTTTTTTTATCAATTCAATTTAACATGCATGGTACATAGCAGCTCTAGGCTAAATATAGGGACAGATTTCTGTCTTCTAGATGATATTAGTCAGAATCAGATGCTGTTAAGTCATGGTTCTGGTAAGGAAGAGCACAAGGCATTTAAGGGGAAAATTATTAGCATTTTTTGGGGAAAATATACATATTTTGGGCTAGGGGAAACAGCCTTTATTCGGCTGTAAAATACAGTGAAAAAAATCACTGGGGTCATATTCCCAATTTAGTCCAACTTATTGTACTGCGTGACGAGATATTGTGCTATTTTCGTGTCTGAGCAATATCTTGCCTCTACTAGCGAGATTCTGTGCCAGAACGAAAATATTTCAGAATCAAGCTTTGGCATGTCAATACATTTTGTGTAATTATTTTGACTAATTCCCAATTGAAAATAGTATATTATTTTCCCAGTCCACAGGAAAATATTCCCAATTGAAAGTTACAAAATCAAAATATTGAATAAAGAGTTCTAAAATCTTTGGAAATAAGGACTTCTTCATTGTAATAGTGCTTAAATGTTTGAAGATGCCATCCTAGACAGTCATTGTTTGCATTCATTTAATCTACATGTACATGTTTCTAATATATTATCTCTCTTTTAAAACTATGTAATACATTAGCAAAATGTGTCTGTTTGATAGTCTCCCACCAGTAGTTTAAACCAAACGTAATTCAAGACTCGGCAAATGTGTGTTTTTCCAAGCTGGTACAATTAATCTTTTACAGTTCTAACTTCACGGTGCACTATCGTTCACAATAGATTAGCCAAAAATTTGCGGTTAATTTTGAAGCTGTAACAGCAAAAGTTTGTTTGTACCCCGGATTAGTTGGGAAAACCCAAAATATTTTTATACCGGAAAAAGATTATTGGTAGTGCTGGATTGTGAATGGGACAACCTAGGTTTAATAACAAATGGTGGAGGCCTGACTTTCATAGTGATTGCTCATGATACAGTCTACTCCACTTATAACGAGATTGGTTTTAACAAACCGTACGGCTTATAATGTACATTCTAATTTCTACTTTGTCCCAGCATTTTTCCTTCTTTTTTCCTTTCAGTTCATAACCTTTATAGGCTAGCAAGATTTGTTTAAGCGAGATATCGGTTATAACATATATATATATTCGCCATCCCATGTGTATTTTCCTGAATTTTAATGAGGTCACTCAATTGGCATGTCATCTGCATCAGTTTGTCACCTTGCGAAAACGATGGTCAATTAATACAGCAATTATTGAGCATTTAGCAATCAAATATGCCACCCTTGTTTTGTCAGTGCTCAGGGTTAAATTGTTCTAAAGTTGATGAAATGTTTATATAATAAAAAGATTTTTTGAGTGGTTAACACAGATGAAAGTCTAATCTCTTGCAATGTTATTTGGTGTTCATAAGAAATACACTGCATTAATTATGAAAACTGAATTTTAAAAGGATGTACATAATTATATAAACACACAGAGTAAGGTAAGGGGTAGTTTGTGTTTTTAAATGTTTGTTAAGACACAAAATAATGAGGAACAAAGCGATTTCCCCTTGAATTTGTCCGCTGTGGACTGTATATTTCAATGGTCATTTGCACTGTACCTTTGCTCTGGCATGTACAGAAGTAAATAGCTGTTCCTTGCTAAGCGAAGGCATGTACAATAACATGTAATACTTGTAAATTGCTTGAAAGCTTGATGATGAATAAACTGCGCTCTGGTGAATTCAAGTTGGCTCGCTGCCATTATCCTAGAGGGTAAAGCCCCCAATCCCCCACCTTACCGCATTTAACTGCATCATGATTCATGAAAGTGAATAAAACATAAGAAAGTCACTATTAAGGATGTAGTAAATATTCAATTAACAGTTACTAACAACACCAAAATATACAGAAAGAGCATAATTATATACGAAAAATTGTATTTTCAATACAGGCTAATTTAATGTAGTTATTATGTACTTTTTAATTGTAAAGTTGTAGGTTACAGATGTCAGAAGATAGTCAGTATGTCAGATGAGGAGAAACCATTTGCTTGTTCACAACCTGGTTGTGGAATGGTAAGTTTGCAATGGCATACATTTCTATAAATTATCCTGATCTGTTTGCTTGTTCATACTTGTAAATATGGTTTTGACAGTTTCGTTAGATATGTGAAAAGAAGCTTATAGATAGATAGATTTATAGATAGATTTATTTCGGCATAAAGGTAAACATGTTACATGATAAACAAACAAAATATAGATTTAAACAATAACAAATAAATGAATAAATAAATAAATAAATAAATAAATAAATAAATAAATAAATAAATAAATAAATAAATAAATGAATAAATACTATATTATGTAAACCATGACATGTTCCCAAAACCAAGGATAATACAAAAAAAAGCAAGGTGGTCCTTATTTTCTTCAATTGTAAACACTTTTTATTCAAAGCAGCTTTTTGCTGTGTTTTCCACCTTTCAGAAAGAAAAGGGAAATTGTGATTTGTCAACACTTGTCTTGTGCTCCTCAATGTCTCTGGCTGAGTTAATGTTGTTGGCTTCCCTTTATGGCTGTGGCCTGTCTCAGACAAATGTTTTTATACACACATTGAAGCCTTCAATGAGATAATAAAAGTGATATTGTCATATACAGGTACACTGTATAGATATTTTGATCTTCTTTTTTATCTCTTTGCTGAGGAATATTATCCTTCATCCATTATCTATATACTAATATTGACTGTTTTGTGTTTAGTGTGAAAATACTGTAGTATAATTATAAATTTATAATACTTTACATTTACAGCAATTTACCAATGAAGACCATTTGGCAGTACATATGAGGAAACATGACATGTCATTAGCGTTGAACTTAGCACAAGGGGGTTTGTCCCCCCTAGGACTTTTCACTGGTATGTTTGGCTTATTATTATAAGGAAGAAGTATGGGGATGGAATCCAGGAAATAATAACATTAACTCTTAAAGTGGATTGGTTTACAATGGCTGCATTTTCCTTAAGTATTTCAAATTTAAAAAACAATTACACAGCAGTGTTTATCCATTACACAGCAGTGTAAATCTTGTACACAAATTAAGCCGGTTAAAGGTTAACTTAAACAATTTTTGAGCCACTTCAAGTATGTGTGAAAAAATAAGATCATTAGAATGTGCATAGAAAAAAAAACTTGCATATTATCTGTCTCTTAGCTAGATGAAAAAAGTTTCTCCCATCTATCTTTGACTGAACAAGCAAATGGTATTGCAGGGTTTTCATTATTAACAGATAGGCAATCCATATTATTGGTTGAAATGCTGTTAAAATCAGTTGTATTTTAAGCATGTAGATTTAAATGTCCCACTTGACCCTTTTAGCAAAATTTATTGTTTTCATTGGCACATCTGTTGTCTCGCAAAAATAATGAAAACCCTGGATATTCACTATTGTGCATGTTCCAACATTATATCAAGTGTTAATCATTCTGTAAAAAAAAAAAAGATTTGAAAATTCCACATTACATCATTATTAACAGATTGATAGTCCATATCATCGGTTGAAATGCTGTTAAAATCAGTTGTATTTTCAGTATGCAGATTAAAATGTCCCTCTTGACCCTTTTCCAAATTGGTTGTTTTTATTGGCACATAAAAACGAAAACCCTGACAGTATTGTGCATGATCCAACATTATATCAAGTGTTTATCATTCTGTAATTTTTTTTTGAAAATTCAACATAACATCTGTACAATTTTTGTATTTCAGATCAGACTCCAACACCTACTAAATTCCTGAAGAATTGTGAAGAACTTGGACTTTTCTCAGAACTTAGTAAAAACCCATTTGATTATTCTTTCAAAAAGGCTATGGATGATCCAATGGAGCATGTAAGTTATAATCTATACTATTGTAGTTGAAAAATAATACTACATAGTAGTACACCTTTGTTAAATATTTATTTGTTGATTTTTTTTGCAAATTTTGTTGAAATATAAGATAGGAAAAAAAGATTTTCAATGGGAATTTTTTAATAGCACATTATGCCTTAGAAATGAATAATTCTTTCCTTCTCATGGACTTTTATAATGTTAAAAAATGGTTTTTAGATATTTATTATCTGAAGTAAGTAGCTTTGATTTGAAATTATTTGTCCCCTGGCAGCTATTTTGAGGAACATTGCCAATATATTATGTGGTGAAGATAAGATATAAATCTCTCGTAATTCTCGTAATCATTTTCATGAAAACTGATAAAAATCTTTTACATATTGGTGCTATAAAAGTAATTTCCTTCGTATGTATGAAAGAATTAAATAATTCACCCAAATCAGCTGTTTATATTTACTTCTTTCATATTTTGTTTATCATCTTACATAGAATATTGACCCCTAAAATGTCTGCTGCTAATATAGCAAGGGAGGTAAATATTATAAAAATCAGGAACTATCTGATATGTGAGTTTAAATAGCAAGCTGGCCTGTTTCTTGATCATATTTAGGAAAAAGATATCAATTTTGAAAGTATTGTTGTAGAATAATGCATGGTTTGAGTTCAAATGCGCAGGAAAATAATCATGAAGGCTGATAGACCTTAGTGATTAATTACAAAACATTTGAACGATAAACCGTGCATTACAATGTATTACACTACAATGCAAGAAATATTAATAACTATTTCCATTCTGACATGCTAACAAAAAAGAGAATTGATAAAATTATGCTGAACCACATTGAGTTTAGAAGTAATTTTCCTGACATCATTTGGTTTATTGACATCATATTTGACATCATATGGAGTCTTTATTATATTGTGTAATAATGCATTTTACAACCCTATCTGTTTGATAGTGTGAAATGTGTAAGAATCTTCAATAATGCTCAAATGTGTTAAAGAGTAAAGTTTATTTTAAGGAATCATATAGTTTTTCCCCATTATTTTTTTTAATCATACTTATTTTTAATATGTGTATTTTGATAGGGTTTGGACCTACCAGGTACGGACAATGCCGATCTGGACACGCCCCAGCCACAAATACCAAAGATTGTGATTGGTGGAGAAGAGCATCGTGAGAATAGAAGACTGCAAGACAAACCAAAAGACCTCTCCATGTCATCCATTGTACCAAAGAAGAGAAAGAAGTTCCTCACTCAGGTAGTGACATGTAAAATGATAACTCACATCTACATTCACTACTGACATATTAAACCTTTACTTCACTCACTGTTAGTTTGAAAATGATAATCATTTTTAGCTTGACTATTCGAATATGGAGAGCTGTCCTACTCACCCCGGCGTGGGCATCTGCCTCCAGCTTTCAGATTAAAGTTTTGATGCAGTAAAATTTTTTTTCACTATAATTTTTTCATTTCTTAAGGTATCAAGTTCAAACTTCAAATATATGTTCCTTATCATCAACCACATCTTATGCGATAAGGTTAATAACTCTATCACCAATATTATCAGATTTATCTCACCTTGAAATTAGAATTTTCCTTAAAAGATACTATTACTTACTATAACTTTTTCATTTCTTACGTATTAACTTCAAACTTCAAATATATGTTCCTTATCACCAACCACATCTTATGCGATAAGGTTAATAACTCTAGCACCAATATTATCAGATTTATCTCACCTTGAACTTAGAATTTGCCTTAAAAATATTTTTGTTTTACTGTTACTTCTTTATTTCTTAAGGTATCAACTTCATACTTCAAATATACTGACTGTGTGACTTACTGTGATTTACAGAGTATGCCAACTTCAACAACTTCTGAAGATGAAGAGGAAGCTGTGATTGGTTCCTCGTCAACAGAGTTACATAGTTCTAGTGAAAATATTGTTTCAAATAGTGTACCAGTCGAAGTTAGTAGCAGTATATCAATCCAGTCTCCACAGAATGTTATACATATAGCTGAACCTTTGCAGTCGCCACCGAATGGAACCGGAATCACTGAAAGTTTTCAGTCACCGCAGCATGTCAACGATATGGTAGACAGTTTCCAGTCATCTCAGATCGTGCCCCAGCTAGCTGAAAGCTCTCCGACCAATGTCAATGATCAGATATTTTCTCCACAGTCTGTGAGCAGCTCGGGTGATTCTGCCTTAATAATCAATGAGAATGCAGTTACCAATTCATCACCAGTCATTCCCAGTTCAAGTCCAGGCAGTATCAACCTTACCAGTGTACCAGTTTCAACTGTATCTGTCCAGTATGTATTATTTAGAAATTATCAGCAATTCAGATTAAGATTTTTGATATTTCAGATAACCCTATATTTGACAGTTTTTTTTCTTCCTTGCTAATTAAAGGACAATTCAGTGGATATGGGAACAATAGGTAGAATGGTTGTGGGAATAATAGGTAAAAGTAAATCTTCTTTGATGTTGTTCATTCACTTCTTTTACATGGCTTAAAGAAAAGTAAGGAAGATATACATGGAAGTTGCTCCACTATCCATTAATTATGAAGTCAGTCTGCTTTTTCTGTCACACCTGTTTAATATCCTCAAATATAGACAGATCTATGCCTTGACCCTTACCATGTAAACTATCTGAAATGGAATTGTCCATATTTCAATTAGGACAAAACTTTTCAGCAATTTTAAGAAAACTTTCTAAATATGTATTGACTGAAGGGCAAACAGTGCTGACCAAGATCAGAAAGCACAGATGTGCCGGCTTATCTTGGTTTACACCGGTTGCACAAGAAGAATCAGTTACTATAAGATGGCTATAGGTTTAATAATTTGTGTGTGTGTACCTTTGGACATTAAGTTAAAGTAATGGATTTCATGATAATTTCAGGCAAAAACCTGCTGCACCAATGATGGTTCAAGTCTTGCTACAGTTACCAGGTGGTCAGGTTGTGCCAATTCAAGTCCCAGCTTCAAATGTGGCCTCAAACCAACCAGTGGTGCCTAAACCTCAACCTCAGCCACAACAGATCCAGCTAGTGAAGCCTGCCGTTCAGCCACAGCCTGCAGTAGCCAACTTTACGCAAAATTCTCAAACCATGTTCTTGGCAGGAAACACTTTGTTCCAAACAGGCCCAAATGTTCAAACAGTGACACCTGGTGGACTTATTCAAAATACTGTCAACACTGTGCCATTTACTGTGAAATCTCCACAGCAGCAGACAACAACTGCACAGACTGGTTTACAAAATATATTGAACCAGTCTGCCAATAATTCAGTATTACAGTCTGTGCTTAATCAGGCTGCAACACAGTCTGCCTTGAGAACAATTTTAGTGTCAAATAAGCAGCAGACTGGCCTGCAATCAGCAGCTACTACACAGATGCAGACAGCCCAGCTTCTACAAAATGCCATAACTCAAAACCAGGCAACTCCAAAACCTCAACAAAAAGTGGCAATACCAGGGAGTCAGTCTTACACAAAACAGGTAAATATAAAAAAATGAGTGGCATGCCAAATATAAACAAGCTATTTGACTTTAATGCAATGGTTCTGATATGAAATATGGCTGAATACATACATAGCAAATTTGGTTGTTATCAAACATTTCAGAGATTAAAAGCAGCTATTCAACAGCAGACAACACCTGGCAGTCAGAAAATATTCCAGGGAGCAGAAGTTAAAAATGAGCCTCAATGGTCGCCAGGTACCAATGTGTCTTCTCCAGAGACTGGTTCCTCTCCTGGGACATCATCAATGTAAGTAGAAGCTTGCTTATAAATGCTAGATTTGTTTGATTCATATTGAATAGCATGTACTTTACTCTAACCTAAGAGGACATCTCCATTGTAGTGTTGACTTTGAATCAATTTCCATCAACCAGTTTGATTTTGAATCCTTCCAGAGATAATGAATCTTTCATATAAGGAAGCTGTCCAGCAAGCTTTTAGAATGTTTGTCGTACTCCCTGGTACTCATTTATACTTGAATTTTTTTGCATGGAAATGCATCAGATCTGGAGTAGTTTGTTTATCAATAAAACCATAAGACACTGTATGACACATACATGTGACTTTAAGATATATAAAGATTTATATCTGATGTCTGGAGTCAACAAAATTATTGTTTAGAATTTTGAAAATAGAATTCTTTCAAAGTTGCACATGTCAAGTATTTGTATGTTTCCTTGAAAGGGAATGGTACTTGCTGTAGTTTAAAAGGTTAAAATCCTACTTAAAGTAGCGGAATAATAACATTTTATTCTGTTTAGTTTATACATATTTATTATTGTTCGAATGTGTTGGAAGCCATAAGTTTATTGAAACACTCCAATCAACCAATACTAAGCAATGAGTGTAAAGTTTCTTGCTCAAGGAAACAACGGCTTGTCCCTGACAGAGTTTGAATCCATATAGCCAGCAATCCTTTGATTACAAGACTGACACGTTAACCACTCAGCCATGCCGCCACTGTTTATGTATAATAATAATATGTGTTAAATAACAGAGGTTTTCTATGTAACAACTCGAGTATCTTTTGAAGGTTTCTGGAAAGAACATAATTTTACTGTTGATAAATAAATTAAAGATATTTCATTAGGTATAACTTAATACCTTTAAATGCAACATGAGTACATATATGCAGTCAAAAGAAACACAGCTAGAGAATTAAGATGGAAACAAAAATTTCACTTTATATTTAATATGTACATGTGGCTTTCAATGAAATAATCATAAGTTACATAGTATTATTATGATATGTATGAAAAATTTTATTTACAGTTTTATTTACAACATAATAATTATGTGATATAGTATACTACTGCTGAAAGTGTTAGTGATAGTGCTTTCAGTCTCAGCTGTAAAATTACCAAATATTATATTGTTTACAGGACATATGAGCAAATGATGGGTGATCAAACATCTGATAACAATGATGCTGACGTGAAGAGGGAGAAATTTCTAGAAAGAAACAGGTACTCTTATACCTTTCAATATTAGCATCAGTAATGATCTACCTGTGAAACAAGTATAGAGCTTGGTCAGCCTTAACATCATCTGTGCATCGGTGGTTCTACTCGAGTGCCCGTTCATGCCTGAAATAATGCATGGAAGGGCACATGAGGTCTTCCTCCACCAGTAAAGCTGGAAATGACCTATACTGTCTCGGTGTGACGTAAATCCAGCAAACAAACATCTTCTGTGTAGACTTGTAAACAAGGCTGTATAATATTGGCTTGAAAATTTTAAAGGTGCACGCCTCCAGATGAACAAAAATATTTCGATAAAATCAAACCTGAGAAAATGTACTTTGATTTAAGGAAAAGTATTAAGATTCAAAATTCTAGTAATAATTTACATGTTATGTGCGATTAATGACCGATTTCTTAGTATTTATAACTATATTTCCACTGCGTTACTAACACAGTAAGGGCTATTTTTGCACATTTTGACCTCTTAATGGTAATATACGTGGATTGTAAGTGCCATTGATAATGTGCAAATTGCATTCTTTTGGTAAATTCACAATATTATACTGTTAAATACATTTTCAAATTTTCATGAAAATTATATTTCCACTGCGTTACTAACACAGTAAGGGCTATTTTTGCACATTTTGACCTCTTAATGGTAATATACGTGGATTGTAAGTGCCATTGATAATGTGCAAATTGCATTCTTTTGGTAAATTCACAATATTATACTGTTAAATACATTTTCAAATTTTCATGAAAATTAGCATGAATCTGGAGGCGTACTGCTTTAATATTTTGATGTTAAATTTCCTTGTATTTTTTCATGTGAGAAAGCTATCCAGGTAGATTTCGGAGGGTTGGTTGTTCTACTAATGTGCCTGAATATGCCAGAAATAATGCATGAAGGTTGAAACTGTCATCCTATGCAAGGAAAGTTGAATCATATGACATTAACAGTGTTTGTGTGTTTGAAATAAATAAATGAATTGAAATCTCTTAAACTGCTAATGGACTGATTGACTTTTACTTGATAAACTGGTTTCAATGTATTAATTTTTTCAAAAAATGGTATGGTATATTGTATATGAATATTAAGTTTTAATTATCCATAAATGTTATGATTTGTCTGTAGATCTGAGTCTGTTGTAAAGAACATCTTTCTTATAAGGGTTTATATAAAAAGCATGGCTATGTTGGTGCTTATCATGTTTCAGAATGTCACATGTCATTATACATATAATAACTTCTAATGAGTAAAAACTATTTTTATCTCTGTAAAGATCCTTTAACACATTTTTTTATGGTTTTATATCATAAATATGATGCTCAAATTAAGATTTATCAATTTTGTAAGTTCCAAAAAGCATTTTTTATAAAGATATTACCAAATCCAACATTTCATTTAAAGGGAGGTTATAAAAAATATTTTCTATAAAGTCTTAAGTCAAATTTTTCAATAAGAAATGAATGCATATATTTTAATGATTACATATAATATGTACAAATATTTGCAGTACATATTTTACATATTCTTCGATGTTTGAAAATTGTTTTATAAGCATAATTATATACATATATATAATTTCACTTAAGTGTGTGGTATGCAACCTCAATTACAACATACAGGATCTTTAAGTGCTATAGCTATGTGTGATTTCGTATTCAGTCAGACCTCTGACCAAACTCAAAACTGTTGTCAGGTCAGTTTTATATCCCCGAATCTTAACAATCTGACAGTCCAAATTTTTAAGCATGTCAACCTCTTAACTTCAGCTTGGTTAGGGTTTATATGTCGGATCTGGTAACAAATATGTTGACATTGACAGTATTTTGCTCTAACATAATGTAATATATATATTTATGTTTTATTAATTTAAAGGGCTGCTGCAGCTAGATGTAGACAGAAGAGGAAACATTGGGTACAAACACTGGAATCAAAAGCTGACAATCTCTCCAATATCAATAATAAACTATGTGTAAGTAAACATAATCGTCTAGTTGTTACTATAGTTACTTGTGTCACTATAGAAATTTAAATATCTATACTGTAAGTAAAATTATTTGACTCTTTGCAAGTATGGATATTTTACTGTGTGTAAATATGGGTATTTCACTATGCATAGGCTTCATGACTGACACAATTATATCACTTTTTTGAAAACTTCTTCATATCTACCCTGAACAGAGAAGTCACTTCTCCCTAGAGTTTCAGTTTAAGGTCCCTATGATATTGACATACATGTATGTGTAAGTATAGATATTGGACCTATGTTTAGTTATGTATGGACTTTGACTAAGTTAAAATATAGATATTTTACCTTTTGTTTGAGTATGGATGTTTGACCTATGTTTGACTAAATGTAAGTTAAGATTTTGAATGATTTATAGGTGTAGCTGTATTTGCTTAAACTTTAAGTTAACTTAAGTCAGGGCTTTTTTTCAAAGGTTGGGGAAGCAGCCCTGCCCTTAATTTTTGGGAAAAATTACATGATATATTTGCATATTAAAGGGAAAGAAAAAAACTTGCTGTAAATTCAATTTTTGGGGAAAACTACATGATTTTAAAGAATTTTTCTTTGGGGAAGCAGCCCTATAACGGCCCCTACTATAGAAGGAAAAAGGCCCTGTAAGTTGGCTTTTAGTTCAGAATTGTTGGTTGTACAAGAATCAGATCAGGTGTCCTAAAGAACTAAAATGAGATGAATATAGCTGGGTTTACAATTCTTGACAAAGTGACATGTAGAAATTTTAAAGAATTAGTAGAAATATTTTTCACATGATTGCTTTGTATATTTTTAAGGGAGAAATCAAGAAACTGCGTGGAGAAGTAGCAAGTTTAAAAACCATGTTGCTGGCACATAAAGAATGTCCTGTTACTATGCAACAGAGAGCACAAGGTCAATTAGGAACAGACACACGTATGTTACATTTCATAACAGTCATCATTGTATGAAATTTGATTCCTAATTTCTTGTACAGCTCAGCTTTAGTTTCTAATACTGCTACAGATTTTAATGCTCTAATATAAGGAAGCGAAGTAGAAAATTTAGATTGGGTTCACGGTTCTACTTGGGTGCCTACACAGTAATGTGACCATCAAATTCCCTGAATTATAAAAAAGTAGTATTATGTATTTATTACATACAAGTGATGATAAATATAGTAATGAAATAATAATGAACAATGATCATGTCCTTCACTGATATTTGATTTGAATCTTAATAGTGATGCCAAGTGTTTCTTTTTTGAGAGGAAGTTAATTTGGTAACTAATATGTCTATTTAATGCATAAAGAAGCACTATAAAATTCTAAATCAGTGAAGCTTCATAGTCACCTTTAACCTGCTGGCTGGGACTGAATCTAACTGTGAAACTAGTACAGACACATACGTGCCATCTGATCATTGTATGCACTGTCTAAACTAAAAGGTGTGTCTTGGCCGAGTGGTTGAGCTCACTGACCTCAAACCACTTGCCCTCACCACTGTGGTGCAGTCTTGACTCCTGCCAGACTTCATATTTTTTCATGTGAGGAGGCTATCAACCTAGCTTATGGAACATTGGTGTTTTACTCAGGTTTATTATTTCAGTGCATTATTTCAGGCTCCTTTACTGTGTTGGTAGGACGTAAAACCCAACCAAAAAAAACCAAAAAACAACACTTACCTAAAATGAAGAATAGTTTTGTCCAGATTAAAAGATGGACACATCCTCTTAGATATTAAGTTTGGATAACATTTAAAATTGTTACACTGAATATTATAAAGAAAACAAGCTAGAATGTTTATGCAAGCTTTTTATGATATTAAAAACCATGTGGTTATCTTTCAGTTTCATTGGGTAGTGATTTAAATGATATTACACCAATAGACATTGGAGACTGCACAGAAACTGAGACTGTGTCTGACGATTCTGCTGTACATAATCATCTTTCTACAATAACATCAGGGGACCAGCCTATTACATCACTTCCTGTTGGACTGGGTATGCTTCAGAGTATTGTGCAAGGGGACCAAGTTATGTTAAAACCAGTCAGTGTAATAACAGGGGCGAATTCTCTTGGATTAATCCCGAAAATAGTGAATCTGGACCAGAGTATCCAGAAAACCAGTTCAGGTTCTTGATAAGATGTTCCGGCTCACAAATATGTGGCCTTAAGTTATTTATAATCATCAACTTGCTAGAGGTTGAATCTCTTGCAAGTTTCTTGTGATCACGCTATGTCTGTTGAAATTCTTTACATATTTGTAGATTTATCTTAAATTAAGAAATGCATGTCATCCTGTTGTTTTAAATTTCTTGTTCAAATTTCTAGGAAATATGTTTGCTTAAAACTGGCACTTGTTGAAAGTTATTTATTTTGTTCCACCAAGCAGTCTATGTTTATCATCTACAGACTCAAGGTGAACTTTAATTAACCTGGCCTTAGCACCAGGTTTTCCCAATCTCTCGAAACTATCAATTTTCACATCAGAACACTTAGTTATTTTAAATATTTCCCTAAGGTTCTTTGCATCAGTTTCCTTTTTATTTTCTCCTGATTCAGGCACATACATTATGGACAATGATGTTACATTTTCCTTGCTCTCTTTCCCTGAACTCCACTATTGCATTCTCCACCCTTAAATCTACAATTTTTCAATATTATCTTTTAATGCATCAACTTCCTTCTCACATTCAAGGATTTTACTATTTTGTTTACTAAGGGTTGATCCCAGTTCTGCAAGTTTTGGTAGAACACTTGTACAGTCATCACAATTGAAAGGCAAGTCTTTGACAGGTTCATTTCTAAATGCCTCATACAATTTACCAGAAATTAGACTACATTCTTAGCAGAACCAAATATTACATATTTTGCCTGCTGCACAGTAAATGGGCCAATTGTGTTAGCATCTAAGTCAAAAAATAAAGTTAAACAAACAAGACTATATTTGCTCTTTTTAAGTACCTTAGGGTGTCTATAACAATATTTTTGGAAAGAAAGGATAACTTTTTGGATACCTTTTTCAAAATATTACATCTCTTGCAGACTGTGCAGGTAGGGGACGGATGTTACAAAGATATACTTAAAGTCTGAATATCTTACAGTTTATAATAAAAAATTGTATTATTTCTCTTTATTTTATTAAAATATTATGTGTTCTGATAAATGTTACAAAAAAAATCCAGAAAATTCATCTTAGATATAAAAATATTTGCTTACAAATTTTCAGTATTTTTCAAACAAAATTTAATTTTCAAACATGTTAGAAACAGAGAGAAATAAAACAAGGATAGGTACACCAAATCATACTTAAATCAAATATACAAACACATTTCTTATAAAACAGTAGAAATTATAGAACTTTCTTATGTATATTTCTTGTCAGATAATCCAAAAATGAATTGTATCAGGGGGACGGATGTTACATTTTTTGGGGGATGGATGTTACAATCGATGTTTAAAGCTCATAGTTCATACTTTTCTTGGTTTTATTTTAAAATAATGAAATTTATAAGAGTATATACTTTGTACAGTACAATAAATGTTAAATAATTGAACAAATTATGACAAAAATGCAGAAATATACCTGACAGTTATGTAGTTTCTTACTATTTGTGTTTCACAATGAAAAGTTGCATTGACTTAGTTTTCTTCCATTTATCTTACATTTGAATGAACATTGAAATGTTTGGAATAAAATAAAAACATTGCTAATTAAATAAAAGAATCCTTGTTTCCCAGATAATGCATTAACGTTAACGTTATACCAACGGTACCAGTTTCTATACATGAAATTATTTACAAATTACTTTAGTTAAATAATAAGATTTATATTTGTAAAAGATATGATACAGTGTGAAGTAAATAAGAAGTTTTCTGATTGAAACATATGCAAGCTTGAATTTCTCATTTCTAAATACATAAATCATACTCAATTAAAAATTTTCATTAAAAATTATAAGATTTTAAATTGTTGCAATTAAGTTCTATCGATTTGATGAAATTTTAAGTAAATTAATGTGGAATGTTAGCAGCATTATCCAAAGATTTCATTATGATTCAGTATCATAATCTCATTATTTCTAACTTTTAATAATTGTCTTTGTAAATATTTCAGTGTACATGAACTGCTTAACTTAATGAACTAATTTGTCATTCAATAAAATTTATAGGTGCAAAATAATTTGCCAAGGGTTTTTTTACAGAATAATTTTCACAATTATCCCAACTTTTTCATAACAGGAATCCTTACCATATCCTTTACTTAGAAGTTTCTTTCACTTTATTAACAATAATTAAATGGGTCAAATTGTAAGAAAATGTGCTTGAGTTTTTATGGGGGAAAAGATCTAAAAAATTTAATCAGGGTGTTGAATTATATTTCTTTGTTTAATTTTCATTGACTACATATTTAGTCTATAAATTTTTGAAGTTCAATAAATCCTTTGACTTAATTGATCTTCAACTTTAATACAGACATTCTTGAATAAGATATGGTAGTCCCTCCCACTGTTTTTAAGCATAATATATATCACCCTCAATTAGCACCCCTTCTGTTTTGTAATATATTACACTTCCCAATATACAATATACACAGCTCCCAATATACAGCTCGTTAACTTCCAATAAAGTGCCAGCCCCTTCTGTGTGTATATATTCAGGATCCATGTCCCACTGTTTTATGAGGGGCTGGGATACATGGTTTGTTAATTATTTAAGGCTTAAGAATTTATGTTTAAACAATTGACCAATTTTAATCACGAAGATACTTTCAACATCTCTATCGTTTGCACCTTTTTCTATATATCCTGTTTTGGATTTTGTGTTTGTTTCCTCTAGTTTTTTTTTTAATTGTATTTTATTTGTTGTGTGAAACATTCCTATACAGCTGCAAAGCCTACTACTTCTCTCTCATGCATCATAAAACAAGATAAGTTTTGTATTACTGTAAAAAGAATTTTTAGTTCAATTCTGTAACATCCGTCCCCTTCTGTACTCTTAGTTTGTAAACATAGCATGACAGAAGATTATATTTGTTATAAATTCATATAAGCTTAAATATTATCTTAATTAACTCATTGGTCCACTTGAGGTTAACAAATAACATATAAATTTTATTTCAAAGTAAATTATTTTGATTTCAGAGCAAAACATACTGATTTTTTTTCAAAATTAAGGTATTTAGTGTTCACAAATAATTTTTTTTCATAAATACATCATTTCAGTGCTTTATTTCTGTTATTTCTTCATTTTTTGATGTAACTTTGGTGTTTTAGTGTAAAATTCCCTTTTCAGTTACAGTTTATATGAGATTTAATAAGCACCTTATATAGGGGGACGGATGTTACGGGGACGGATGTTACAGACAACTTTTACATTATTGTATTTTTTTTCTCATAAACATAGAAATTGGCAATTTTTGTAACATTTTCATTGTAAGGCTATCATTAAGCACCAGAAACATTGTTTTTTATGAGTATTGTTTTAAAATTGGATATTTTATGAGAGGGGGACGGATGTTACAGTTTTTTCATCACAAATTTTTTTTTACCACTATAATGCCTACTATGGTAAAAATGTTTGAAAATTTGAATTGAAAGCACTTAACATATGTTTTTAATTCATATTTCATTAGATTGAGACAATAAAGTACTATTTTATTTGTAACTGCTTAAAGGTATACTTGTTTACTTAACAACTGAATTTTGAAAAAACTGATGCATTACAAAAGTCTGATTTTACTAAAATCATCTTAACGATAAAAACCAGGATGATGTATACCAAGTATTATATATCACTGGAAAGGTTATTAAATTTTCTATGTGCATGTAAAAAAATTTAAGTGATAAATTAAAACAGATAATAGTGGTGTTAATTCTAAAAACACCAAAAAAACAGATGCTAACACATTACATGTAAAAGTGGACATTTTTAGGGTATAAAAACGTCTGTATCTTTACTTTGGGTAATGCTATCCCAAAACATTTTTGGGCACATTTGCTTTATAGTAAGTCCTTTGTAAAAACACAAAAAAATAATAGAAAATGCAATATATTTTTTGAAAAAGCCTGCATTACATGTATTTTTGAAAAATTGGCCCATTTACTGTGCAGCAGGCAATTTGGCAATTCATCGATTTGTGAGATTTCTTAAACACAACATCACACTGAGCACAGTTTATACTGTTTAGTGATTGGGATGCCATTTCTCACTATAAACCTCCTAATATGATGAACAAACTTTATATAAGTCACAAGCGATTAAATTTTTCACAACAAATTCACTTAAACAAAGGATTACACAAGATAATAAAAAAAATTTGTTTTTCTTCTGCTAGATTTTTCACTCGATTTTAACCGAAACTGTGTTGTTTGTGGTTTTGAAGGGGTTTTTAACCAGGTTTTCCAAAGGATAAAACTGGTTATTAGATCAAGGTATATGGGCGGGCAGGCTGACGGGTGGGGGTAAACAATTTCTTCTACATTTCTCAAGGAATTTTGACCAAACTTTCACAGAAGCTTTGTCATGAAGTGCCCTGATGCATATTGTTGGGGTTTTGTGACTGAATCATGGTGAACATTTCTATCAAATTATATTGTAATTCTTCAAAGAATAATCAAGATATAGACTGGAAAAATCCAGACAGACGGACATGCGACTGAATTTGGATCAAGGGCCATTTCTTTTGTTATTTTCTTTTGTTTAATAGAGGGCCATTGCCCCTTCCTCTATTGTTAGGATATGGAACTCCATTTTTATGCCACCGCAGCATCTGCGATGCGGTGGCAATATTACTGCGATTCACCTGTGTGTGTTTGTGTTTGTTTGTATGTGTGTTATATAGATTATATAGTGAACTTACAAATCTTCTTGTGAAAAACCACTGGTTCAATATCACAACCTCATTTACACTTTGTACAAATCATTGCAAAAACATAACAGTTAAACACTTATTATAATGAAAATTAACAAAAGAAATGGCGTCATTTGCATAATAATTTTTTCATTTGTTCTTTTTATATTCAAGAAGTTAATAGGAATTCAATTGAATATTCGGAGATAACTAATGAATGAATTTAATTTGCTTCATACATATATCTAAATTATTTCTATAAATTTACAAATAAGACAAGAACCTAATCAATTTCCATAACAGTTTGAATAAAAAATAAACAAAATCACATCTTTAAAAGCTATTCATACATACATATACTTCATACAAAAGCTTGACCATGTTGTATTTACAAACAAATGAAGACATTTGCTAAAAAGTCTAATCAAATATAATCTAAAAATAAATAGTCCATAAGATTTTAAACATACAAACTGAAATCACTTGCTGCAATATCATTATTTTAATACTTTTCACCATAACTAAACCATAATAGAATAATAGTACTATTGATATCAAACTATATCCTGTCTTTTGTCCTGTTAAAATGCCACTTATATTGACAATTTCAGCTGTTTGTTTTCTTTTCCATTTCCTCGCACTTTCATTAGCCTCACTTTTCCTTTTCTTACTGTTTCTTGACACAATCCGGTTTTTCAATCTTACCAAGTTTGCCAGTTTTTTTAGCTTTTTCCATCTTTAATAACTGAACAGAGGTGCATAAGTTCTCTTCATGTTTTTTCAAATCTTCCACCCTTTTGCTTTGTAAGTATTTCCTATAAGTGTCATAGGCATTAATGCATGTGGATTTCATGCTGTTGTTTACAATTATGTCTGTGCTCTTTACATTCTTTTTCC